AAAAATTCATATTACTAGAATACATTGGTATCGAAGGAACTAGATTCTGTTTCGAAATATCATTTACTCAAACCGTCCTGACCGCGTAGCTCAGTTGGAAGAGCATTGGGCTAGTATTCCAAAGGTCGTAGGTTCGAATCCCACCGTAGCCGGGCATATTTTTCAAGCTCGCCCGGTGTGGATATACACTCAGAGTAACACCACAAATATCATATTCACCTGAGTACACTACACCAACACAGAAAAAAAAAATTCTGCTGACATGTTTGTAAAATCAACTTGTTGTTCATAAACATAACTGAAATGACGCATCCTAAAAGGGAATAATTTAGTGTATACAATCTTTCGTGCTATACTGTGTCAGTACCTCGATGATGATATATACAGGACATATAGCCTAGTACTGCGTCGTCTTGTGCGACCTTTTTATATGTAGTATGCTCGGTATGCTATGCCATATTAGACGGCCAACAATGAATCTCAGGGCAAGCGAAAACTCGAGCGAAAACGCGGATAGAGTCGTAGGATTTTTACTCGTACTAAAATTCCCTCACTGAGTGTCAGTTTAATTTACAGTTTAAACATGGACGAATAGACACACATGCATGCGTTGAAACATCATTAATATATATACAACTTACAAGGCCTATAATTATATTTGTTTGTATTTTTGTCATTTTAATTGAGCGAATGGTTTATATTATCACACGCTAAAAGGTTTTTTATCCATCGGCGCTTATAAAATATTTCGTGTGAGAAAGGATCAATATTAAAGAACTGTCTGTATTAAAGTGATGTTAAATTAAATGCCAACTTCGAACGAGAATTGAAAATTATCCGTTTGCACTTCAGCTGGCATGGCTAAGTCAATCAACTGTTGTTACTTTAATATTTTGATTGACATGTTTTCAACAACAAACAAAGATGGTCTATTTATTCTCAACAATGAACAATTCTAGGTTTGATTTCTATTTTTCGGGCAAACATTTATTACTTTGAAACTGATTTCTGCGAGGATTTCTGTTCGTTATTAGTAGCTATCGGTCAGCCAAATCAGAAAATTAAAAAGGCACATTTTACGCAACAATAATTGCAGCAATACTTTCACACAACCCGGGGGGAGGGGTGTTCGAATTTTTAACAAATTAAGAATTTTCAGTGTTCCGGTGTTCCGTGTTCCGGAATGATGCTGTTCCGGTGTTCCGGTGTTCTTGGTTTTACTAATAGCCCCTAAATGTCAAAGACAGGTATCGGAGAAAATGGAAAATGTTTGATGGTCGTTTTTGAAGATATGGAAATTTTTATTAATCAGATCAGTCTCTAATTTGAAATTGAATGATAATAGTTTCAGACCAGGGAATTTTGTAGTTACCGGTGATGTTATACACAGGATCTATGATGGTCTCTAGCGCTAAGTACTTTTTCTCATGTTGGAACATTAGTGTTTGTTTATGGTGTAGGTTTAGTATTTTCAAAAATATTTATAAATCTTTATTTCGAAAATAGTTCAACAAATATACTAAGATTAAGCGAAATAATTCGCTTGTAAAATTGTACAGAGCTGCAACAGAGCTACCAAGTGCACAATGCTTCCAAATTGAAGATTAAAAGGCCAATCAGAGGAGATGTTCTTTAACTCTTTTGCGCAAATTGTCCAATCAGAAGCTGCTATCTATTTGCAGGATTAGTCAAAATAGTCAAAATTGCGCAATCGTTAGTCAAAATAGGTCTGACTAATCAACATGCCTGTAATGTGTAATCTGAGCAAATTTGACCAATCAAATCACATGAACTAAAATGCAGAGTAGTCAATTTTCATTTCAATACCGCTTATTTGACTTATCGTTTGACTAATCAATCGCTGGCTCAATGTGCAAAAACTGATCGAAGTTTATATGCTGGAGTGTGATGTAGTTTTGATTGCATGATCAGAAATGAAGAGAAGCTTTTGCGCTGGGAAAAAAATTCAAAAACCTTAGTCCAAACTTTTTTATATGCCTTTTTTTTACGTTAGTCGCGTGACTAATCTGACTACCCCTAGATCCGCCCCTGTACCTTAGGACATGTCACATGAACACAATCCCCAAAAGCAACACACCTTTAAAGTGTGATTTTGCAGTAAACATAGCATTATTAATAACATACCTTTCGCCACACCATTTGGAGTAACACGGCTAAAGATGCGTTATTTTTTGGGCAAACGTAAAGCAAACCTTTCGTTGCGCTGCAGTAACCCACATTAGTATGTGACCTAAACGTACCCTTAAGATGTGTTGTTTTCTAGTATATATGACCTTTTCATTTTCGTGTGCCTCAATATAAAGGCTGTGAGTTTATAGATTCCTCTACCACCATTTCGGTACCTAAACCTAAATACCATATGAAACACCATATCACGTGCACCTCCTCCCATCTGCAGTAAATGTTGGCATGCTTTATATTGGATAGGTGTTTGAGGACAAGGTTTGATGAGCATCGTGGCGCTGTCGACGCTAACCCACTAGTTGCCAGGTACTATAATGATAGCCCCCAAACCATGGCCAGCCGACAATTTAAGAAAATACAAAAAGAAACAAATTCCGAAAAATAAGGTCATCTTGAAATTCAAGATATGAATTCAAACAAGACGAGTGTATGAGACTGTAAATTGTCGACTTTTTTAATAAGGTCTCATACACTCGTCTCGTTTTAATTCATATCTTGAATTTCAAGATGACCTTATTTTCGGAATTTGTTTCTTTTTGTATAATGATAGCAACCAGAGTGTTTCTGGTAGTAATGATAGACGTAAAAAAGACGTGAAATGCACCTCATTTCCACACTTGCCACTGTCCGCCCCAAAGGTATCGATGGACGTTTTTCCTAAGCTTATTATCTCCGATCTGTGTTTACATAAATGACATGTGCATGCATGAACAGGCATTTAAAGTATAGCTTATATATTTTCACCCTATTGCTACAGTTTCTTTCTCTTTGTCAATTTACCATCTAGCTTCTGTATTAGGGACCGGCCATTAATAATGAGAGTGGGGCGCGGTGGTGATAAGTGCCAAATATTGAATATTATTTAGAGCCGCCCCCGATGCAAGACCTTTATTTTCAAGACGGGGCCACCTTGATCTAGAAAATTTAGGACTCTCCCCCCACTCCAACATTTAATTCGTTACATTTGCAAATTGGTGTAAAATAGGTAATGGACAAGTACTGGTGTAAGACATTGTGTAGCCTAGATAATTGGAGGACCAGCATTCAAAATGGTTGTTATTTGCTCCGACTCCTATGGTAAACTGCATATACGAGTAATAAACTATGGAAACTACGATTATAAAAACTAAAAAAGGTGAAATATTTTGTGGGATACGATAAAGGCGAGAGATTTTCAGTTTGAGGCCGCCCCCAATTCAGGCAAATATAGTTGAAGCCGACCCCCTAGGCCTCTTCTCGCCCACCGCCCTCTGTAACGAATTTACAATTTTGTCTGCACTTTGGTTTATTTTTGTCACGTGATTGCTTATTTATTCAATGGCATAAAATCACACGTATTTTTATGTTTATTTATATTAATTGGATCTAAACCAATGATAAAAAGTATCTCAAATAAACAACCAAACATTATCATAGAAAACAAACCAATTAAACAAGGATATGATTGCAAAACTCTTGGAGTGACTGTTGACCAGCATTTGTCTTGGAGGAATAATACTGAAAACATTTGCAAGAAAATAACATCCGGGATATCAGCTCTTCGTCAAATAAAAGGATTTGTTGAGAAAGATACACTTGTCTCTGTGTATAATTCTATTGTTCGCCCATACTTTACATATTGCTGTGAAGTATGGGATTTGTTTGGTGAAACACAATCAAAATGCCTCCAAAAGCTCCAAAACAGAGCTGCTCGAATCATAATAAATATGAGCAATGATGTAGATCATCTGGTTGCTTTAGATGCTTTAGACTGGAAGCCACTTAAAACGGAAAGAATAAAGGCTAAGTCCAAACTGATGTTTAAATTGTTGAATAAAATGGGTCCTAAATCACTTACTGATTTATTTACTTTCAAAAGTGAAATGACAAATTATAAACTTCGAGATGTTGAAAGTACTCTTTGCTTACCACAGCCGCGTACAAATAGCTTGAAAAAAAGTTTCATGTTAGACGGGCACACATTTGGAATTCTTTACCAACCGAAATTAGAGAGAGCAACTCCATCATGTCCTTTGAAACTAAAATCGCTACTCACATTTTTGAATACTCACATTTTTGAATAGCATTATTATTCTTATACTTATATAATTATGTATGTATATATATATATATATATATATATATATACATATATACATATATATATATATATATATATATATATATATATATATATATATATATATATATATATATATATATATATATATATATATATATATATATATATATCGTAAATAGGTTTAGGTTTTATTAAATTATCTTCAGATATCATGTCTTAGTCTACACTAATAATATATATATATATATATATATATATATATATATATATATATATATATATATATATATATATATATATATATATATATATATATATATATAATTCTTACAGCATGTAATATCTTACTATATACTATATATTTGTAATTTTATTATTGTACACGCCCCTTGTGGAAATCAGCCTAGGTTGACAATGGTTAGCGTGTTTAAATAGTGGAATAAACATGTGGAATAAACATGTTGATTATATCTAAATAAGAATGCATCTATTTCTTTCAGTTAACAAACATAATAACATGTATTTACTCTATAAATGTTCATAAACCTCCATGAATGATGGAGAAGTACAGCAATGTACTTTATGTTATTCCAATGAAGTGTCTCGCTATAATAATGTTAATGAACTATTCTCTATCTCCCCCCAAGTCTTTAATGATTGAGAGGGAGCAATGTCATTAAATACTTTAACTAAAACAACATGAACCGTGCATTTATATGATAACAAGCTTAGTTCACTCTTCCTGGAGTCCTTTTTTGTTGTAATCCTGTAAACGTCGTAGAGCTAGAGGTAGCTTCTTGGGTGTGCTAGGGTTTTCAGGTTTTCTAGGGGTTTGCTCCAGTGTGATGTGGTTTGGTGTAGATGGCATTGATGTGGACTGGGGTGTGGGAGGTGTAGGGCTAGGGATGTTTGGTGGCTCTGTTGGTGGGGTGTGCAATGTTGGTTGAGGAGCTTTGGTCTGTGGGGTTGGTAGATACCGTAAATCCTCAGTGATAGTATGTCGGGGTTGTCGCTGTTGAACTGGAATGAATTTGCGTAGGAATTTACGATTGCGGAGTGTCACACGGCCTGACCCGTCCACACGGATTGCATACTGGTCGAATTGACGGACTTCAATCACTAAGCCTGTTTTATCCCATTTTTTTGGGTGGGGGCCAATTTGGTTCTGTATTCGGACTTGGTCCCCAACTTTCAGTGGTGTGAGTCGGCGTGTGTGCTCGGACAGCCATTCAGTGGTTCGCATATGACGGTTGCGAAGTGCTTGTTCGCGGGTCATAAGGGTATCTTTCCAGGTAGGGTGGGGTTGGTAACGCCCAGGGGCAATAGGGATGAAATCTTTGATAGGTCTTCCGAAGATGCATTCTGCTGGTGACAGTTTTGTGGTGGGATCGGGTGTATTTCGGTACTGGAGGATAGCAATTTGTAAGGTGTCGGTGTCAAGGGTACCGTTAGGGCCAGTGTTGTTGGTTATTAAGCGCTTAACTGTTTTGACACCAACCTCGGCGCGGCAGTTTGAGTGAGGGTAGGCGACGGATGACAGGCGATGATGGACTCCCCAGGATGTGAGGAAATCTTGTGTTGATGTGGCAGTAAATTCAGGTCCGCCGTCGGTTGCTAGCTCATCTGGAATTCCAAATGTGACAAAGATACGTCGTAAGCAGTGGATTAATCCAGTTGCACCGTCTTTGCAACGCTCTATTATGGGCCAGTTGGAGTACCGATCTATGACCACGAGGTAATTGACTCCTTGGTAATGGAAGTAATCAGCGCATAAGAGTTGAAATGGGTAGCTTGGTGGAGTGATGGGTGTGGGAGGGGGGTTTGGATGAGATGGGGCCATTCGGTTGCAGTGTTGACAGGATTCTCTTATGGCTCGAATTGCCGGTGTTATGCCAGGCCAGAATACGGTTGCCTCGGCGCGAGAGGTCATTGAGGTGATGCCTTGGTGAGCCGAATGGAGGATGGATAGGATGTGACTTCTTAGGGATGAGGGTATGACAATGCGAGCTTTGTATAGGATAACCCCATCGATGGCATAGAGGTGTTCACGAAATTGGAAAAATTCCTGTAAATCAGGGGGGAGTTCGTGGCGAAACTCGGGGAAGCCTGCTGTAATGGTTGAAAGGAGCTTCTCCATTGTTGTGTCGCTCGCTGTTGCTGTTTTGACGCGGTCCCATGTTACGGCCATGGAGTGGGTTGATTTGATGGCAGATGACAGCAGTTGCTTTTCAATGGTGGCAGTGATTGAGTATGTGTCGGGTTCAAGGGTGCGGATGCCAGCTAGGACGGGGTTGCTCAACATGGGTGGGGGGGAATTGGCATTGATGTCGGCCACGTCATCGGGGATGGGCATGGCTTCGGGGTTGGTGGTGCCAGATGGATGGCGTGAGAGTGCGTCGGCGGCTTTGTGTTTGATGCCTGGGATATGGACCATGCGGAAGCGGTATCGAAGCGTCTTTTCTTTGAGATTGCGAAGGCGGATGTTGGAAATGTCTTCAAGACATCGATCACCAAAGACTTTAAGGAGGGGTTTGTGGTCAACAGCTATGATAAGGTTGTCACAGCCCAGTACAAAGAAGCGGGCTTTGTCGAGTGCGTCTACCACTGCAAGGGCCTCGCCTTCAATGGGAGCATATCTGGATTCGGCGGTGTGGGTAAAACGGCTTCCGACCAGGGTAACTTTCCAGCCAGTTTTACAGCAGAAAGGCCTCTCAGCAGGGCAGTCGCAGTGTTTCTGAAATAGCCAAAAGCCTATCCCATCTTTCGACCAATCAGTAGCGAGACAGGTGGGCTTGGACTTATCGAAGATCTGTACACCGTGTTCGATTTCGTTAACGATCACCTTCTTCGATTCTTCGAAGAGTTGATTTAGCTCTTCTGTCCATGTGAATTGTGAGCCAGGTTTGAGTGATTCGCGAAAGGGTAGCATTCGGTCTGCGGCAGCAAATGCATAGGAGACCTGGTTTATTAGGCCAAACCAAGAGCGCATGTCAGTGACGTTGGCCGGTCGTGGAAAGTTGAGGATGGCAGCAAGGTATTTCTGGCATGGGCGGACATGGTTGGGGGTGATAGCAAAGCCAGCAAACTCGACTGTGTCCTGTCCAAATACGAATTTTTCGGGGTTCAGGATTATGCCATTGTGTCCACAAGTGTCAAGCCAATCTACTGCTTGGAAAAAACTGCCTTCGATGTTGTCAGCCCAGAGAAGTGCATCATCAATATATTTCGTTTTGTCTGGAATATCCGAGACAATCTCGTCGAAACGTCGCGAGAAGCCATCACCAGATGCAATGTACCCTTGGGGGGCAGTCTTGTAGCGAAATCGGCCCCATGGAGTTATAAAGGTGGTAAGATGGCGGTCGTCAGGGTGTATAGCAACACTATGGTAGCCATTCCAACAGTCGAAGATGGTTTTTTTCTTGTTGGTAGGCACAGATCTAGCCTGGTGGAACGGGCTTTGGGTGTGGTGGGTTTCGCGGGTGGCATGTAGGTTTAAGGCTTGGAGGTCAACTGTCCTGCGAGGCTGGCCATTCTTCTTAGCGCAAACGACCATTCGATGACACCAGGTGACGGGTTCGCCAATTGGTACTGGCTCAAGGACGCCCAATGCCACATCGCGGTCAAGACCAGCTTTGACATCCTCTTGCCAGTGTAGTGGTACTGGTATAGGGGTATGGTGTGCTACCGGGGTGGCATCTGGGTTGACCATAAGCCGCATTGGTGGACCGTGCATAAGTGGGAGGGGCTGATGTTCGCATGTATTGAAGGTACTGGCAGCATAGTAGTCAAGTAGCCACTGTTGGAGGTGTGCTCGATTAGCATTGTTGGCAGGGAAGGGTGGTTGTGTAGGTCGAGGCGGTGGTTTCTGGCGCAGTGGACAGTTGCATGGTGCTGTGAGTGCACTTTGTGGTGTTTGCTTTGGGGTGGTGTTGGTGTTTCCTGGTGACGCGTCAGATGGTGGTAAGGTGGTTAAAGGTGATGCTTCACCGACAGTG